CGACCATCTGATGAGCTAAAATGAGAGTAGGTAGTGAGTGTGCCCATGGTTAGATGGGGTCTGGGAAATTTTCTGGTCTGTTGCTGAAGAATCCTTATTTCATTGCCTCGCAGGTCCTCGAGACGTCGGTGTCCTGTGACGGATCGCCAAAGTGGCAGCAGTTACAGAGGCTGGCAGGCTCTAGCCCGCTTCAGTGTCCCGGTAGCCCCGGACGGCGCCGGAGCATGAGCTTGAGCCATCCAGTTAACGGGCGCCCCGATGAGGCACCACTGAAGCCGGGCTGGCGGATGAGCCGGTTGTCACAGAGACAACCCATCAGCAACTCTCAGACGGTCGGTAAAGCCTTAGACCTCCGACTACCGGCCAAAAAGATTGCGAAGCAATTCATACGGCAGGGCTCTGAGGACAGCCAATCCGGCGGCTTCGCGCATCTCAACCTACACATGATCCAACATGCCGAAGACGAGCCTGGCCGTGGCTCGACCGTCCGTGGCTCGCCATTCAGTAACGACGATCCTGGCAACAACAAAATCGTCAGGCGACGTCCACCTTTACTATTGTCTAGTCGCACGGCTTCACAAGAGATTGTGAATCATCGTCTTCGAGACGGGGAACACGGAGGGAACGAGAAGTCGACGCACCCCAATACGACCATCCGAAAATTGAGTGGCAGACACCCTACACTGACATCTTCGGTAGGTGAAAGTTTGACACTTTAATACTCGTAGTCATATTTGGTAAGTTTCAAACTATCAAAAGAACTATAATTTGATCTGTATTCAGCCTAGGTTGCATAAGCTGATGAAGGACTGATAATTGAATTTTCACACAACTCACATTTCCACTGAATTCCAAAGAACCTGGCTTCCAAAAAGGTATCCTCATCACGGTATGGATCTCATCAGTTCACTACACTTCACTGCTTCGAGTCACAAGACAGATGTGAATTTCAGGGAGGGTCAGGCCTTTTCCACACCACATTTATTTGTGGTGGAGCTTGCCGATAAAACAAACTGATGCTGATAAGAGACTATCTCGACTTATTAATTCTACTAACCTTGGCTATGAAAAATATTTTTTTAATGTCACGCATGCAGCAATCACTTAACAGTCTCGTAACAGTAATTACTTGTGAGCATACATATATATGATGTATTTATCCTATTTCGAATAAGCTGATAAGAATACCGGCAGTTGAAATTTCCCACAATGACATGACATTTCCATTGAATTTCGTATGGCCTTAATTTATCAAAAGTTATTCTAATCCAGGTTGGAGTGGACTGCAGCTTGGATCTCGCATAAGTCTTAGCAGCATCCCCAGCGGTACATTAACCACGAAACTGGAACGTATAATCTCTACACATAACCAATTATGCTATGTTTCCTCAAATGCCCTTGGGTCACAGAGCTGATGTGAAGTCAGAAGGAAGGTCAGACGTTTTCCAAGATCATATTCTGTAGTGGGATCGTCGATAAAGCAAAGTTGCATTTGCTATAACAATCGATTACGTAACTTATTTTTAGTATATAAGTAGGCTGTTGT